CAAAGGGGGGCCCCCAGGGGGCCCCCAACCAAACCCTTACGGGGCCCCTGGTGAACCCCTAGGTGGCGACCCGGAAGCAAACGGTGTTACTTATGTTGCGCTGCACTATGATAGATCCAGGTAAGGGTTTAGGGTTTAGGGTTTAGGGTTTAGGGTTTAGGGTTTAGGGTTTGAGGGTTTAGGGTTTTAGGGTTTAGGGTTTTAGGGTTGTCTCGGGTGACGCATCGACGCTCGCAGTAGCAGCAGCAGCAACTGCAGCAATTGCAGCAGCAGCAGCAGCAGCAGCAACTGCAGCAGCAGCAATAGCAGCAAGAGTGTATCTATATATACTAATACTCATTCACACACACACACACACAAATACATATAAATATAAATATAAATATATATATATATATTTATTTATATATGCATAAATATATATATATATATATTTATATATATATAATTATATACATATACGCATGCATGTTTATACATATAAATATATATATAAATCCATATACATATAATTCAGCAAATAAATATAAGTAAATAAGCAAAAAAGCAAACAAGCAAACAAACAAATAAATAAATATAAATAAATAAATATAAATATATTTATATTTATTATTTATATTTTTATCTGTGTGTGCATGCAGCTCACCAGTGCCGTCGTGGCTGCGTTCATACATAGCAGCACAAACTCTGCCTTCAACAATGACGAAGCTGCGTAAATATGCATTAAAGCTGCTGTCTTCATCAGGAGAAGTGCTGCAGCCTGAAGCACTTAGGGGCCCCCAGGGGGCCCCCCTAACAGCAGCAGATTTGCTGCTACTCAAACAACAATTTGCTATTCACAGCCCTCAATGGAGACATACTTCAAACCAAACTCCTAATAATAAACAGGGGCTCCCAAGAGATGCCGATACACCCCAGATGCTTAGAGAAGCTTCAGTACAAAGACATCAGCAGCAGCAGCAGCAGCAGCAGCAACAGCAGCAGCAGCAGCAGCAACAGAGACACAAACGCCAACAAACAGAGGCTTCCCAACACGCACTCTGCGTTGACGCAAGACCGAGCTCTTCTTCTTCTGCAGCAGCAGCAGCAGCAACAGCAGCAGCAGCGAGTGGCCCGAGTTGTTCTGTGGGGCCTCCGTCGAGCCGCCGCGGTATTTCGGGGGCCCCCTCAGCGCTTATTAGTGATGCAGAGACTGCTGCTGCTGCTGCTGCTGCTGCAAGCGAGCTTTGAAGTCCTGTGCTGCGTTGCTGCAGGAGTGCCGCAGCAGCAGCAGCAGCAGCAACAGCAGCAACAGCAGTAGATGCTGCAGCAGTGCTGCAGCAACAGCAGCACTAGTCTTCCACCAGCAGCAGATGGTGCTGCAATAGGGCTGCAGCAACAGCAGCGAGTGCTGCCCAACTTCTACAGCAGCAGCAGCAGCAGGAACTGCTGTAGATGCAGCAGCAGCAGATGCTGCAGTTGTGCTGCTGCAGCATCTGCAGCATTTGCTGCAGTAGCGGCTGTCTCTACTTTCATTTTATAAAATCTGTCTTTCTTTTAAGTCTTTCTTCTCTCTCTGCATTGGGCCCCCCCATTTGCCTCTTCTTACAAAGTCGGGGGCCCTGGGGGCCCCCAGCATTGTCTCTTATTATTAACCTGGGGGCCCCCAACATTGTCTCTTATTATTAACTTGGGGGGGCCCCGACTTTGTCTTATCCTATAAAGCTGGGGGCCCCTAGGGGCCCCCCACTTTGTCTTATCTTATAAAGCTGAGGCTCCGGGGGGCCCCCCACTTAATCTTATAAAGTTGGGGGCCCTTGGGGGCCCCCACTTAATCTTATAAAGTTGAGGGCCGTGGGGGCCTTGGGGGGCCCCCACTTAATCTTATAAAGTTGGGGGCCCTTGGGGGGCCCCCACTTAATCTTATAAAGTTGGGGGCCCTTGGGGGCCCCCCACTTAATCTTATAAAGTTGGGGGCCCTTGGAGGCCCTGGGGGGCCCCCCACTGTATATTTTCTTACAAATTTGGGGGCCCCCCACCTTGTGACTGATTATAAAGTTGGGGGCCCTGGGGGCCCTCTACTTTGTAAATTATTTTAAAGTTGGGGGCCCCCCACTTCGTATTTTCTTATTCATTTTCTTATAAAGTTGAGGGGCCCCCCTGTGGGGCCCCACAGGGAGACAGGGGGCCCCTGGGCCTAAACCCTGTTGGGGGCCTCAGGCGTCTGCTGTTGTTTCTGCAAGAAAACAATTTGCAGTGATTTATATATGCATATATATATATATATGTATGTATATATATATATATATTTATGTCTGCATTTATATCTGTATGAATATAACTATATATATATATATATATATATATAGTTATATTCATATATCTATATATGTTTACATAC